AATTCTGAATAATTTTTTTTTTGTCATTTCCATGGCAACAAGTTTGACTTAGACTGAAATTGGTAATAGTGCTCCTTTCTGGAGCAGAACTTTCAAAACCTTTCAATACTCTCCTTCCACTTTTCTATATACACACCTAAATATTTGACATAATCATACCTCGTAGACATAATCATGAAAAGTATTTTGCCATTGCGGGGGATATTGATGACTTTGTCTTCTTGTTATGTTTATTTATTGTGCATGTTGAACTAAACAAAATATGAATCAAAATATCATCTTTTCTTATTGATTCTACTGGACTGATCCATTATAGGACTATGTATCACCTTGAGGATTAGTTGTGCACTCAACCAGAAATGCTGTAATAACACCGTTCTTATAACAGAGATCCTTGTAATCTCTAGTCGAGAACTGTTGCGGTGGGGTAGCCTAGTGGTTAATGTGTTCGCCCCGAAAACCCGGGTTCGATTCCCCAAATGGGTACAATGTTTGAAGTGTACGCATAGTGTACGCATGTAAGGTCACATTTATTGAGTATTTACACAAATTCAAGCGTACTTTTTACGCAATAGACTTAATAGAAATTGAGTTTTCACATAAATATTTGCGTAATTTGCGCAGATACGCAGCTTATCTGTACCTCTGATATTATAAATCATATCATGGCTTACCAGCCTCATCTGTGAGTGAGTGGATGCGGTTCTGTGCCGCAGTAAGCATTACACCCTGAACGCTGTGGCCTACCTTCAATATGGACTAAAAAACGAGTGCTTACAGTTGGAAATTATAACCAAAAACGTAATAAAATCTCAAGTGCTCGTGAACTTTTTACACTAATGAGTAAGTATCTCAAAAACTGATAATTTCGAAACAAATTATTCTTTCTTTGTAAAACAGTCAAAATACGCCACTCTGGTGCAATTGCCATCACTGTGAATACTCCAGACGTTACCTGGACATTTCTTTGGACATTCGTCACTACTCGCCTCTTCCCCGGCTTGCCGGAATGACACGAGTAGTTACGAATGTTCTTTGGATGCGATGGCCCGAATCAGCCACCACAGTTTCCCGCCAAGTCATCGGGAGGAAATAGTCACGTGTCGCATGACGCTTGCACATTTCACATCGAACGCGTGCAATGTCACTGGTCTTGAAATCGCGTCCTTTTAAGATGCAGTCATAGGACCAAACGTCTGAGCAAAGTTGATCCATGTTTCTGAGATGTTTAGAAGCACAGATTAAGACATGAGAAGTCTTTTACATTTCCTTTTACAGAAATTAGAAGTGTGAAAGACCTATTTAATCCGGCACACCTGGCAGAGAACCACGGGTTATAGATCGGCAGATTTTGGGACAATCATTAGTGAGTGTGTAAGGTTTTATGTAGCTTTAGCAATATTCTAGCAAAATCACGGTGGGGGAGACCAGAATGAGGGGTCACGTCCACGACAAAACGGGACGTTACTTACTTCGGCTTTGTATTTACTGTTATGCCTTATGACGTATTCCCATGGTTGTATGATCCTATCTCAGACGGATCTTTAGACTAATGCTTAGTCTCTGAATATATATAATTTTGATTGTAACAAACAAGCCCATTTCAATTGAAAAGGAGCCCCAGGGAGACCAGAGATTCAGAACCTGAGGAAATCTAGACTTGCTTTATTTAGGGCTTTAGCACTGCAGGGAGGGCTTGGCAGTAGGGACAATAATGTGGTCCAGGGACTGTGAGACAGACTAACGGATCTTGTACAAGTGTGGGAATATATTCCTTCGGGACACCAACGGTTCCGAAACAAGGTGATATCACATATTGTCATTCTTCTCATTAGATAATCCGGATGTGATTTTGTTTGTTTCTTCGATGTTTAACATTCCAACATTCTGGTAGTGGAGTCAATAAATAAATAAATAAAAGTAACATTAGCAGTCGAGTTATATGGTGTTAATCACAGATTTTAAAGTGTTTTTCGCTTGAACTCCTTATATTCCCTAATCAATCAAAGGGCCTCGTTGTCTTCAAGCGCAGCTTTTAGAGTTGCCTCCCTATCCGTGCAAGGATTTGGTGTGCTTGACGTCACAGACAATCCCTGGGTATGGTACCCCTTCATAGATATATTTTATGTTTTAGGTAGAGAGGAGGCGGTTGCTAAAATGTAATATCATAGATGCATACTAATCAACCAAAGAATATATCCTCTCCCAAAAAAGAAACGCATCATGAAAATAGCAATTTCATGTAGCAATGAATTAAAACGTGATTCATTTTACAAAAAGGTTTTGCTCTGTTTATGAGTCCTATGGTGTTTATGTTTTGAAACATCACAACAAAACGCACCATCCGTAAAATACCCGTATTTAACGGCATGATTTTCAATTTCGGCGTGTAGTGTCACAGAATACACAATTCACATGCAATGCACGTGAAAGTTGGGGATCAGATAGTCTCAATGATGGGTATAAAAGGTTGACCACTGTCTGTCGATTATTCACTGTATTTGGAATATTGTTGACGAACGCAAAATGCCACGTCTAAGTGAAGCCAACCGTCATATCGCCATTGGTTTGCTTGAAGCTTGCCCGACGCATGAATGTTCACCAAAGCACCATTTCACGGCTCTGGGAGAGATATCGCCGGCAGAATGCGGTAGCAGATGCTCCTCGTAGTGGGCGACCTCGAGCGACCACTGCGGCGCAGGATCGCTACATCAAGGGACATCACCTGCGTCATCGAACAGCTACGGCGACCAGTACCGCTCGACAAATACCCGGATTGAGCAGGCTTTCTGCACAGACCGTCAGGAACAGGTTGAGAGAGAGGCTGGTTTACGTGCCAGGAGACCTTATTTTGGCCCTGTGCTTCGACAACAACATCGTCGACATCGAGTTCAATGGTGCACCAACGTTCAGGCCTGGAACCTACCGAATTGGCGTAGACTCGTTCAGTGATGAATCACGATTTCTATTGGAACGACGCGATGGAAGAATGCGGGTGTACAGACGTCGACGTGAACGTTTCGCCGACGCTTGCGTTCCCCAGGTGGACAGATTCGGTCGGGGAAGTGTTATGATGTGGGGAGCCATCACCTGCCGTAGGAGAAGTGATTTGGTGATGATCCAGGGCAATCTGACAGCTCAACGGTACTGTGACGAAATCCTACACCCACACCTCCTTCCAATCATTGATCGCCAGAGGGAGTTGTTTCAACAGGACAATGCCAGGCCCCACATAGCACGTCACACTAGAGACTTCCTCCAGAACCACAACATCAATGTGCTTCCCTGGCCTTCAAGATCACCGGACTTAAACCCGATCGAACATCTGTGGCATGCCCTGGAAAGACGGGTGCGACGCCGTAACCCTCAGCCCCAGACACTTCAGCAACTCGCACAGGCACTACAGGCAGAGTGGGCTGCGATTGGGCAACACGAGATTCTGAGACTTATTCGTTCGATGCCGAGGCGATGCCGTGCAGTTCTGGATGCCCACGGTGGTCACACGAGGTATTGACTTCAGCGCCACCACACGTCTCCATGTGACGCTCAAACTGACTTTCCTCGAGTTGGTGCCACAGACGGATAAGTCTGCATTCCCAGTGTGCAATTTCGCTATATTTCATTGACTCATAAAGCCTACAAGATGTTTCAAAATAAACATAAAAATACAGTTGAAATTCCTATATGCGTTTCTTTTTTGGGAAAGTATATATTTTAGAATCAATATCAATATCTGTATCAGCAATAAACAGATTTCGAAGGTGTCTTTTTTGCGAAAATATAATAAAATAATATTCAAGGTGTCGTTAAAACCCATTTCACCCCAGCCACATGTTTTGCTATTTTATTCTTCTTGCGATATTGCCTAAACTTTAGTGGTTAAGGCGTTCGCTCGTCTCGCCGAAGACCGATTCCCCACATGGGCACATTGTGTGAAGCCCATTTCTGGTGTCCCCTGTCATGATATTGTTGGGTTATTCCTAAATGTGGCGTCAAACTAAACTCACTCACTCAAACTTTTCAAGTGTTTTCAGGACTGTTGAAACATATTGTGGCTTAAATAGGGACGTGGTGGTCAGCGTCAAACGTAGCTGTTTGCGGGACACCAACGGTTGATTATTGCTCAAGCTTTCCATCACTCGTTAGCCTTAGTATCTGGTATGTACAGGCAATGTGTATACAGCTGGAACATATCTTAGTGGCGTGAAAAGACTCTCTCTTCCTGTGGCAGGGAGTACACTCACAATTATGATTATAATTTACGAAATATTTAGAATAATTATATCTGGGTCAACATTATATGCGACAACAATTTTATACATTGTTAAAACTGAAACGTTCATTTTTACAGCCGCATCATGTAGATGTACTTGGGAGTAGATACATTCATATATTACCTATTTTCATTTTAGTAAGAAGACAAAGACAATGTTTCAAATGTCAACACTGTAAGTAGGACTTAGCAACAGCAAACTTTCGTTTAACTGTGTGACGATATGAACATGAATGACGTCACACTGTTACAGTGTTGAAATATGACGCCATATGCAGCTCTAACAGAGCTGTCAAATTCATAACGGGTTAACTGCGGAAGTGTAGTTATGAAAGGTTATTACTCTCGATCCTTTAACCGAAAAAGTTATCACTGATATTAGTTATCATATCATATATCCGTGTATCATTATCGTCATCATCATCATCATCAGTATTAATTTATATCATAATTATCAGTATTACATAATGCACAACAGTGCCCCATGATATATATTATATTTCGTTTTAGTTACTAAATATTATACACGAGTCATACAAAACTCTTCATTAGTTACTGCGCTCGTACTCAAAGTCACTTATTGCTATGATGGAAGATGTACTGGCGCTTCCTTCGATATGCAACTCAAGACACAGTGTCGGATTCAGAAGCTCCTTACACTGTATGAACGCATGATAGTGTAATCTCGCGTGGAGACCGACCATTTATCTCCCCTGTGTGGAGCTAAGAGCTGTTTACTCCCTGCAGGAAGTCAGTTGTCTACGTCAAAATGGAGGCCACTTGCAACCACGAATTCAATGCGACCGCGGATGATGAACTTAGCTTCTCAAAAAACGCCGTAATCAAGGTAGTGTGTCTTACCAAGTCGAAATAAATCACTTACAAATGAAAAAACGTAATTCAGGGTTCCTACGGACGGATATGGTGACTTTTAAGGGTTTCTTGACTCACTTCCTGGTCCAATGATTTTGTCTCAGTCAGTGTGAAATCTGCGTAGAATTTATGTCACGTAATATATCACATCCGTTCGAGAAGAGGCACGTCCTTGTGATTGTGTTTTTTTCAATAGTGCCCCGAAGGACCATCTTGATTAAACAGACCACCACTGTTATTGGATTGAATCGATATTTGTTGACTTGAATGTCATAATAAGTTTCAGTTTCGTGAGTATTACAAATCATGGAAGTATTTAGGTGTACATCACTGATGGTCATCATTTGTGCTAATATTAGATGTGTGTATCTGTCATATATGAGAATATTCTGACATATGTTAATATATCTGTATATAATCTGTACATCTGTGTATAATCTGTCATATCTAAAGTTGTACATGTTTAATTGTTAATATGTTTCGATTCAACTGTTAAAGTTGCACATAATATCCTGATTTTCATCACGTTTAGATAGTTATTATGATGTCAAACCAAATTTCATGTATGTGACATTTAGCATGCTATTATTGTTAAGTTAACAACGCAGGATGATGAAAATTTATGCTCTATACCAACAAATTTGCCGATGTCCTTCATCAATAAAGAGATAACTGTAGGCAGTATGTTGCATGTATTTCTTAAAGAAAACCCTCCATGCTCATGCCTCCAAATGTCTCAATCAACATGGACATACCAGACTTTCTTTATTAGTCTTAATATTGGACAGCAATATTAGATAGTTTTGGATAGAAAGTTGTTCTTGAAATATGTATTATCTCAAGTTTGATCTGTCTGAAAAATATATTAATTTACCTATGAAATAATATTAGAATTTTCATGCCAATGATTACTTAGTAGTATTATGTATGTTTTATAGGTTCTTATGTTGATTATATGTGGATTTCAGGCAAATTGACATTATTTGCCATAAACATTGTCAGCCATTTACGCTTGCTCCATTATAGCTGCATGATTTGTGTGTGTCATTAGTGAGTGAGAGAGTTTTGTTTTACGCCGCTACTCAGCAATATTCCAGCTATATGACAGCGGTCTGTAAATAATCGAGTCTGGACCAGACAATCCAGTGATCAACAGCATGAGCAGCGGTCTGCGCAATTGGGAACCGATGACATGTGTCAACCAAGTCAGCGAGCCTGACCACCTGATCCCGTTAGTCGCCTCTTACGACAAGCATGGGTTACTGAAGATCAATATTCTAACCCGGACTTTCACGGGTCTGTTATGTCATTAGATATATATTACAGCATATAGTAATTGAAACTTACCTCCCAGAGGACAGCCAAATGAGCCCATGGCGAAAAAATATATTGGGTTTTTGAGAGTGAAATTTTGACTTCGGTGATGTATTGAGTATCATCATGTACTGTATTCAAATTGACACAAACTGGCGATGACACAATGTATGTATGATGGATTGTAAGTTGTGGAAAATGGGAAAGGTATTCAAATTTATAAACTAAGACCGTCACATACATCGTGGATTCTGGTTCTGTACGCGTCAGGGCACAGTGTGTATTATTATCGCCTGTCATGAAGTGGGAGGGGGATATAAGTTTAAGTTCCGTCAGTCCGAGATGATGATGATTTTTGAAAAAACCCTGTTATATATAGGGAAACCAAATTTGGTAATATGTATTTTCAGGACATGAATGCCTTGATGGAGTTTGAAAACATAAACCGTGTTACAATTTGTTACAGGGTTATATCCCTTGTTTATCGTTTCTTGACTTAGTGCACAGTATCCTCAATGGGGCCAGATTTTCTCAAAAAATGTTATAGATAGGGAAACCAAATGTGGTATGTTTTTTTCAGGACACGAATGCCTTGATGGAGTTTGAAAATGGAAACCATACGATTCTTTACAGAGTTATGGCCCTTGTCATGCGTGTTATCCCCAATGGGAACAGATTTTCTCATATAACAGCTTATGTATAACTATTGGTAGGAAGAATGAATAGTTGTCAAAATAAGAACAGAACACTGTGGCGGGGATATTGATGACCATGTCTTCTTGTTATATATGTCATTAGTTTATAGGTAAATATTACAACACAAAGTGGGGCGGTGGGGTAGTCTAGTGGTTAAAGCGTTGACTCGTCACGCCGATGACCAGGGTTCGAATCCCCACATGGGTACAACGTGTGAAGCCCATTTCTGGTGTCCCCTGCCGTGATGTTGCTGGAATATTGCTAAAAGCGGCGTAAAACCAAACTCAGTCAGTCAGTCAGTCAGTACAACACAAAGTAATTAACTGTGACCTCCTCTAAGACAACTTACTCAGAGCTTACTGAAAAATACACTGGATTTTTATCTGAGTGACATTTTGACAAGGTATTGAAATTACAACAGTTTGGTATTAATCAGGCCCAGTTGATAGCCACATGTGTTGATGAAAAATCAAAGATACAGTATTACAATTAGGAAACTTTAAATATTTCCTTTTTTTGTGAAAATAGATGGTAATATTTTGAGGAATTCACATTTGTGACTGCGTCCATATTCCTTGAGAAATAAGCTTTCTAAACCATGATCATGGTAATGAAAATAAATATAAAGAGTTAAATCCAATTGGGTTAATTTTTGAGGAAATCTCTTGTATGAGTGGTTTTCTTAACTTCTAATACTAATGAAACAAGTTGACATCTTCCTGTTACAACTAACATCAGCGTAGGAAAGATAGCCCGTCCCAACGTCCGAGACGGATGAATTTTGTGGAGGACGGGTTAAAAAAATATCTAGTCCGTCCTCATGTCAGGTCAATTTTAGCAAACCAATGACATATATATAATGATTATAACCTTTTTGAATATTTACTGCCGAAGGTGTTTTATTTATATTTGGAGAACAGGCTAGATTTTCGCAGGACTGGTAAAAATTTGACCTGCCTGTCCTGTGGACAGGCTAGATTTTCTACATCTTTCCTACACTGCTAACATACAGAATATTGCTTCTGGTATTGACTGTTATTGCTTTCTGTATTACCTCCCTTAATAAACATTTGGTTTAGTGCTGTCTTCAGGTAGTGGGGTAGCCAAGGTGGTGGGGTAGCCATAGTGATTAAAGCATTTGCTCGTCAGGCTGAAGACCCAGGTTCGATTCCCCACATGGGTACAATGTGTGAAGCCCGTTTCTGGTGTCCCCTTGGTGATATTGCTGGAAGATTGCAAAAAGTGGCGTAAAACCCAACTCACTCACTCACTGGCACAGTCTTGGCCTTATTATGATGAAGTTCAGTGATGTTGCTGGAATATTGCTAAATGGTAAAACCAAACTCAGTCAGTCAGTCAGTATTATGATGAAGTTCAGTTCCAAAATGGTAGAAAACATATCCGTAGGTTAATATTAGTATGTTGTGCAGTACGTAGCATTTATGATATATGAAGAATATGATATATAAAGATTATTACACAAGCAAGTGTGTCATATGACTTATACGAAACGACTGTGAAATTTTGCAATTATTTCAATACATAATTTTGCACGAGTTTCGTATAAGTCCTGACACACTTGCTCAAGTGTAATAAATTCTTTATTATCTATTTTATACATGTACATGTGTGCAGTAAAACATGGTAGGCAAGTGTGGTGTCCCACTTCCTTGACGTCACGTTCAATTGTTTAATGGCGTCACAGACTACGAAATACAGAAACAATGGTTGCTCGGCAAAAGTGATATGTGCACATGTGATATATCTGACACTGGTTACTGTTTCACCACATGGGTAATATATGTTATTATCAGCAATACGATAGTGTGAATGCATTAGAAAGATGTAGGCAAGAACCATACTAGAAAATCCTCAAAACTATTTACCTAACCAGTTCAGTATCAGCTAATGCTGACTAACAGTATTAGATAAGAGAAAAATATATGACACTCATGACATTTGGATGAAAATCAGAAGCTCACCAACCCCCCCCCCATGTCATCTGCTCCACACAAGCCGGGATTTACCTCGAGTCCTGTTTTGTAGGGTTCCTGGGACTCATACTCTTAAATTTCAGGGGTCCTGGACAACAAAATGGGGTTCCAGACACTTAAGTATTATTTTTAATAGTGTTATTGTCTTGTGTATCAGGGGTGGTGGGGTAGCTTAGTGGTTAAAGCGTTCGCTCGTCAAGCCAAAGACCTGGGTTCAATTCCCCACATGGGTACAATGTGTGAAGCCCATTTCTGGTGTCCCCCGCCGTGATATTGCTGGAATATTGCTAAAAGCGGTGTAAAACTACTCACTCACTCACTCACTCTTGTGTATCATGATCGTCACATTATTAATTACCATAACCCAGCTAGTGGCAAATTCTTGAAAACTTATTGTTACTTGATTGGAATTTTTACAAAAAAGTATTTGGACTTTTGCTGCATCCCTGTAGATGCGCTAACAAATTTTGCTGCGTCCATTGTAAATTTTTATGAGTATAGGACGCAGGAATTTGCGTCCTGTAAATCCCTGCACAAGTCATTAGACGTAGGCTTTCAGGGGAGTTTAATACATTTATCAAAAGACATGACTATGGGATTCTATTTATCATCCAAATTCATTCTTTCAACCCACGAAGATCCGGGTAAGAACTGATCTTCAGCAACCCATGTTTGTTGTAAGAGGCAACTAATGGGATTGGGTGGTCAGGCTCACTGACTTGGTTGACACATGCCATTCTATCCCAATTGCGTAGATCAATGCTCATTCATCACTGGATTGTCTGGTCCAGACTCAATTATTTACAGACTGCATCCATATACATGTAGCTGGCATATTGCTGGGTGCGGTGTTGAACAACAAACCAGGTTCCATTTTTGTTTTTGTATTTTGGTCCCACGCTTCAAGGTCAGTTGGGTAGCCTAGTGGTTAAAGTGTCTCTCGTCTCACCGAAGACCCGGGTTCGGTTCC